TGAACTGCCATTCACTACGAATTTCCATTTTAATCCAATAGGTGCATTTTATGGGTCACATAGTTCATAACTTTCCCAACCATGATAAACACGAGTCAATGAGACAGGACGATCTTTATTGTTTTGTGCAGTCAGCAGCTGAGTCAGAAGGTTCGAAGTAATGGCGGAAAACGAACTCAAATGGTACAACATCTTGAAGGTTCTTTTCGGAACCATTTTAAGCATTGCTGACCCCATCACTGATGTTCTCACACTGGTGGAATTCTACCGCACAGATCACAAGACGTGGTTCGGTGTGGGGCTTACATTCATTATTTTGCCAAGTTTGTTTTTTCTTTTGATTAACTATGTTTTACGTTGGAGGTCTGATGCTTCACGGAGGACCTGGAGGTTAAATGATCATGAAGAGAGCAAGGTTGAGGCTTGCAAATTCACACGTGTTTTAGTCTTTGGATGCAATCCACTCCTTCCGGCCTGGCTGAAAATGCGAACGCTTTATTCACTAAAGAAGTTACTAAAACGCAGGCAAGGTAATAACACCCATCAAATGTATGGCGGATACTCAGAAGAAGAGGAAGAGTTGGATAATCTACTGCGGTTCAGCGAACTCGGTGTTCTGGTCGAGGCCGCTCTTGAATCAGCTCCTCAGTTTATTATTCAGCTGTACGCCATGGCTGTTCAACAGCAATCGGTGTCGATCGTTCAAATGGTTTCCCTGCCTGTGTCTTTCCTCAGCTTGGCTTGGGCGTCTACTGTTGCTGATAAGACTGGTACGTTACCTGGCAATTACAGACGACACCCCTATTTCGGCGTGAAAGATACAGTTCTACTATTTGTAACGCACTTATTTATTTTAAGCAGTCGACTCTTTGCAGTTGCTTTGTTCGCTGTAAGCTACAAGTGGTGGGTTATCAGTGTTTTGATCCTTCACTGTACGGTGATAACGATATGTGACAGAGTTTGGCTTCGTAGAACCCACAGCGTTTACAGGAACAACTACCCATTTGAGTCGACAATATATTTCTGCCTCCACTGGATACGAGATGATTTGACAATAATTCATTATCGGTTAAGAATGCAGTTGGTCTCCAACGTGCTTTTTGTGATAGAAAACATCACCATGATCCTGTTGTTTTATTTCAGTCATTTCCCCCACACCTGGTACTCCTTACCAGTCACCATCTGTGTATGTTTATTTGCTGTTCTAGGAGCCGTAATGAGACTTACTCACTTTTATTACTCACAGAGAAGGAATCAGACGGAATCCAGTAGTAGATATAGCATAGAAAGTCCAGCAATCGCTGCGGGGTTGCAGCAATATGTCTACGAAACGTCGGTATAAAAGGCAGGTACAAAAGTCGGACCGGATCAACTCGGACCTACAGTCTGGGTCGGATCAACTCGGATCGACTCGGACCAACTCGGATCGAATAAAAAAATAAAAATAAAATAAAATTGGACTCGGATCAACTCGGATCATAAAAAAAAAACAACTCGGATTATAAAAAGACAATAATATCAGTCGGTATCACTTAACTTTCGCCCGCCATTTTGTTTTTTCTCACGAACTCGTGGTTGCGTAAATTAATTTTATTTTTATTAATTTTAATGATACACTAGTGAGCAGCACACATACACTTCCAGTGAACATTTTTAACTTGGAAGGAGGAGAAATCATGCTCGCGCGGGACAACGAAAATTTTCGTACCCCAGGCGAGAATTACTATATGTTTATCGGACGTTCCAACCACTGAACCGGAGGGTCGCGAGTTCGATTCTTGCCCGGGGCATGGAAATTTCCTTTGTCCAGGGCGAGCATGGTTTCTCCTCCTTCCAAGTTGAAAATGTTCACTGGAAATGTATGTGTGCTGCTCACTAGTGTATCATTAAAATTAAGTTTCAGAAGTCCTGCAGAAAAAAAAAACAAACAGGAACAAACAAACACTCTTCGGTAACTATCTAAATGCGATCAACAGACCACGCTTTTGATGCTTTTCTCATAAATAATTCAGTAGTCTAATAAATAAGCAAATATATACATTCTAGGAGACTGAAACTATCATTTCTTTACTGTCGAACCACAACCATGAGTTTATAACATGATCCGAGAGGAACTGGCACCAGTAAAACAAATGGCGCCTTAAAGCCACGGAGAAAAAAAAGGATGATCTGGCCTTTTTTACCCTCCAAATAGGTTAAACTTTCAGTTTTGCTGATTTAATTTTATTTTTTTTATTGCTCCGAGTTGATCCGAGTCCAATTTTATTTTATTTTTATTCGATCCGAGTTGGTCCGAGTCGATCCGAGTTGATCCGACGCGGACTGGCGGTCCGAGTTGATCCGGTCCGACTTTTGTACCTGCCTTCGGTATAAATCGTCTGATCTTGCATATTGGTACGTCTCAAGTTAATATGCGATCGGTGATAATGTTGGCTGACTACGAACCGCAACAAATAATAACGTTAAAGTGCAGCTGCAATCGTATAGTAATCCCATCGAGGTTGCAGCAACATAAAACGGAGGTAAATCATAGTCTGATCTTGTATTGGTACGTCTCAAGTTTGTATGTGATCTGTTACATTATGTAGGCTAACTATAATGTTTAAGAGTCGCAACTAGGGAAGGCAGAAAAGTACTGTCAACTGGGACACACATTTAAGCCATTACGTTATGTTGATTTACTGACTTATTTACCGTACTTGTACTAATTTGTGAGTCATTCAGTATTTATTAATGAATTAATTAGTTCAAAAGTAACTAAACTAAACTGAACTATACTAAAACGAGCCAAATGTTTCTTATTACTCTGTCACGCGTGTAGTCTACCGTGTGGTTATCAAACAATGCACACAATCGCCGGCACATGGTCATTTTATTCCAGGTTTTGTTGCACTGGGATGGCAGTGAATTTTTAAAATATTGACTCCACTGAAGTGTGACAGTTCATGACAAATTCTGACAAAATAGCAAAACTGTAGTTGTCGCTAAAACCTTGAGGGTTAATATTCTTGTAATATTCTTGAGCATTATCACTATCGCAATGGTGATTTTTGCAACATACCTAGTTAGTTAGAGAATAAGCTTTCAAATATACCATACTAAAAATTACGCCCCGGGTCATAATTATATTGCGCTCTGCTTTGCGTGAGAGAGCGGTCCCAAGGTTTTAAACAAAACTTATAGGTGTCCAAAATTTGTAGTATCACAAAAGGTTTTATAAAAGTGACTTTGAGATCACTTTCTAATTAGGGCAATAAATTAGCATCACCTTAAAAACGCGAATAGTTGTTAGGTATAAATGATTAGGACTTTTTCATTTTACGCTCTAAACATTCCGGGCGAGCATACAGTCTGCCATCTAAAATTAAACACAATCTAATGCCACCCATAACTTTCTTTTCCAAAGAGTAGAAAAGACGGACTCGTCGCATTTCCTCGAATATTTTAAAATTCGGGCTTTATTCAAAGGAGCGCGCTTAATCGAAGAAGAGGGGGGTGGCCTATTAAAGTAATGCTTAAAATAACTGAAATAATTGTGGCAAAAATTAAAATATTTGGTCAAGATCACGACTGGATATTGACCAAGTTCGCAAAACAAAAGAACGAGGCCAATATACAGCCATTTTGACCGAGTAAGTTTGGTGTGTTAAACGGTGAAAATCGTCAGCGTGGAAAATATATACAAGTCAGCAAATTTTTTTCTTTGAGTGAATGGAGTTTTATCTAGTGTGTCGGATATGTATCATGCGTGTGATTTGAAAATATCGTAAAAACAATAATTGTGGTTCAGTTTCCTCATAATCATACTCATCAACTGGTGTTCTCTTGCGACATGAGAAAGTAGTTTGTCCCATAATTTAATCCTTTGTTATCGACTCAAACGAAACTGCTGTTTCAAAAACTGTTCGCTACTTGTGGCGATATTAACAATACGTGTTTATGGTAAAGTTGATTTAGTAACTATAACCTTTCTCCCAATCGATCTATATATTCATATTTGTATTGTGTGCTTTATATGAATATCTGTTATCCAGTATTTAATTCACCATTTTCCCATAGACCATGATGCATCTTGTTTTCCAATTTCTCCTGGGTATTACGGTCGTCCCAAGACAAATCGAAGACAATGGTTATGCAAAATTTTGGGGGGTAAACAAGGTGCTCTATGGCCGATCTGAAAATGAGGAATTTGGTAAATTACGTTTAAAAACGCATTAATACTTCATAAAGAAATGTGTGAATACGGCCATTATCAGGATTGAGAATGGTTTAACAGTTTTGCTCGTTTTTTAAACATATACTTATAACATTATAAAGTCTTTTTGTTCAGTAATTATTGCAGTTTGTCTTCAATATTGTGATTCCTGTATATATAATTATATTCCTCCCTTAATTTTGAGGGCCATTAGTAATAAAATTTATTGTATTGTATTGTAAAGGATTTGTTATTTGGCCAAAAGGCAATGTTTCCCTCTTTTTTTTTGGCGGAAAAAGGAGTAAATCCCGAGCTTGAGACCCACCCTGCCCACCCCGGTTGACAATTAGAACACAGAATTCATTTTATCTTGCCCAGTCGGCCAATATGCACACTAGAGAACCATACACGCAGTAATAGAAATAACTGTCACAACTGACCAATCATTGGTTATACCAAGAGCTGCTAAACAGGAATGAGGTATTGAAAACAATGCTTACAGGCTCCACTACTCCGTCTCTCCCCAGCCCCAACGCGGTTTTCGCGCAACTTTTCTTGATCCGCTTTCCTCACTGGCTTGGAATACCAGAACAGGCTAGAAAGAACTGACTGAACAAAGAAACCCTTACCTCGGTGTAGTCAGCGTTAAAAAAGAGTCAGGTAAAACAAACAACCAAAGGAAATATCAGTATTATTAAAAATTACTAAATTGCGTTATCACTGCAATAAACACCTCTTCAGCCATAGAGTCAATGTCATGAACTTTATTTTTACATAAGAAGACACATATCACAGTGATCCAAGGCTATCTTCTGGACACCTTGTTCATTTTTCGTTTGCCTGCAAACACGTGCTTAGGCATCTTTGTGGAAATCTTCCTTTCTGCTTCTCCTGGAAAACAAAACATATCAGATCAGCGCACAAATTCTCTTATCCTCTCTCATATGTCATACACGGTTCACCTCGAGAGAAGTTCTCTTTCAATCAGTCAAACAGATCACCTAGACTTACCTGCTTTACCCATACGATTGAGGCCTCTTTGAACAACCTTCGAAAGTTTCTTCGCTTTTTTCTTCTTCTGAAAGCAACAACAGTTGGAAACGAGTCCAGCGTCAGCGGAGCAAAGAATCCCTCGACGGTTATTTTTGTTACTAGAGACCTTTAGATTCTAAGACGAGGCCGACGACGAGTACAAGAATTTCTCTATATTAAGCAGTGTGCGGGCGAGAAAAACATTTTGGCGGGAAAACGTGATAGCCGTCGCCATTCGAGTTTTAGCTTGAATGTAGTAGAGGCGGATATTTAACAATTAATTAATGAGGCTGAGTATCTTATGAGGAATTATGTACATCGAGAAGGGTGTCATCCGTCGAAGCTGTAGGCCGAGGCGGATAACACCCTCCGACACGAAAGCCGAATTGAATAATTGTTCATTCAAAATAACTCCTAGTTTAAAAACATAGCTAAAACATGCTTACATTCATCTGTGTTAAGTTCGTCTTCGATAGTGCACGTTTAGCGTTGTTTAGCTCCGCAAATATTTTCCAGATAGCAGATGTCGCCCTTCGAGTTGTCTTCTTGCTGTTTTTGCCATGTTTTTAGCTATTATTTCGCCTAGTTCTTACTCTTGAAACAAGTGAAATGTCCGCCATTTTCGTTTTCACAGCCAAAACAACTCAACCTCGTCCCCAGGTCCTCTCGGTTAACGGAGCACTAACCTGCAAGGAAGCTACAGTTTTGACGTCATCGGTTCATTAATCGCAAAATTCTTCCAAATTTGGTCATCAGTAGCTGTTTATGGTGAATTATGCGTGTGCTTTTAGCCAATCAGAATCGGGGAAATATTTTGCATGAATAATAAAACTTATTAAATGTAAGAAGATTTATCATTTCTCGATCGGGAGAGGGCTTAACCTCTTTCAATAATGATAACAGTGCTAATCTTCTGGTGAAAAAAGAGAGCATAATGAAGGTTTCAGGGGTGTCTGTTTTTTTAAAGTAATACGCAAAAAAAATCAAATCTCGTACTAGTAGTCGCTTTCGTCCTCGAATCTAACGGTCTCTGATACTTTTCTCAGCTGCACAAGATCGCTGCGGCTTTCGCCATTTAACCAATTACATGGACAATAACGACTTTGAGTAAATTGCTAAGTCACTGGGGTACTTTTCTTTGATACTGTTTACCTGTTTATGATGTACAGGCTAATTTGAACTTTTGAGTCTGTGTAGAAAATCCTTATACGGTGGTTCTAAGATTAAACTTTGGAGTCTGTTAAGGAAAACTTTTTATTGAGTAATGAGAAATAAAACTGCATAAAATAGGCGCGTTGGTGGTGTTTTAATAGTCTTTGAATAAAAGCCTCAAAGCTGCTCACACTTCTATGGAAACAAAGAAGTCTTTGCAGACTATACAAGCTGAGCTCGATCCTGGCTGACTCACGCGATAAAATGTGCGTGCATGCATTAAAAAGAAGGCTATTTCACAGTGCTTATGTATTCTACCTCTGTTGGTTTGTTTTTTACCTCTGCGGATCCGGTTCCAGACTGGTCACGTGGTTGCCGCGATAAGCTGCGCGCTCCACTGCTAGCTGCTCTCTTTCTTTTCCGACTCATTGGGGTCTGGGAACGAGATCTTGTTACAGTCTGATCTCCCTGCAAATACGGATCGGTACACATCCATTGTTATACATGAAATAAACAATGATAATAGGTGCGCATGATAAAAATACTGCCTACCTCTTCAATGTCTTCCATTGCCTCACCCAAATCAGTATCACTCTTTTTTCGGCTGCGAGCGGCTTGAGCCTAAGTGCAAAAAATATTAAAAGATTAAAACAACGAAACCACACGTGGTCCGGATAAAAACTTTTCAATCCTTGGCTTTACATTGCTTTGCTCTGTGATTGCCTGAAAAAGTTCGCACCACTTGTTTTAACCAATCAGATTTAAATCAATAACTAGAAATACATGAATCGCAAGACCTCACGGAGCACTTCGGGGGAACGGCAAGAAGTAGGATGAAATAGATAAATGTAAAACAAGTAACGCTATATAAAGAAACAAAACAAAACTACAATAACTAAAAATACTAAACGCAAAAGAAAAAAAAAAAAAAAAAAAAAAAAAA